CTTTTTATATTCAAAACACAATTTTCATATCGAATACTCGTAGATCATGTATCTAAAAAGTATAGGGATCAAATTTAATAAATTAAATGCTCTAGTAACATTAATAGAAAGATATTCGGTTAATATATACTAACAAATTAATAGATTCTCAACACAATAATCGGAAATTTAATTTCTAACCTCAAAACATCGTCTAAACGTCTTTTGAATTCCTATTACGTGTTTTAAGTAATATTTTTATTATATGCATATTTCATTCGAAGCAACACATGTGGTATACAATATATTAAAGAAAATGACTCCTACTTATTGACAACCGGAACTGCTCTAGAGACAAATGAATTTCTGGAATAAAGATTATAATTATTTTCAATCTAACTATTTAATAGACCATTTGAGAATAGACTGACTTTTAGCAGAAGCCGATCCTTAAATCGGAAAATTTCCACGATATCTATGCTTACTCGACAGGGCGAATTCGTTGTATTCAAGTCCGTCGCACAAATAAGGGTCTTTCCTCTGGTTTTCTTTGCAAATCCATCAACCCGGCCAACCGAGACGCAAGATCGTTTCGTTCAACTGTCAATACCATTTCACCATCTCGCAATGATCGCGATTGCTTTTAAATCTCAGATGAACCAAGATTGGCTATCGTTTTGCCTTTTATTTCGATATGTAAATGTAAGAATCGATGAGATTATAAAATGATGAGAAAGTGGCACTTTGAGCGCTGGAATTCAAAGTTATATTTCTCGTCTAACATTGTTTATCACAAGATTTGGCAGGATACTTTCCGGTTAAACTCATCGATATACATCATCAATCACAAAAGTGAAACTTCATCTAAAACATGTGAGGCTACCTCAAATAAGACTTTTTAAGTTGGAAAATTTGTGCATATGAAATGGAAATACTACAATGTTACCAAATCGCAGAGGAGGTATTCTTCAAATCACCTAAGTTAATATATGTATCAAAGTATGTAATCAATATCAATATAATAACCAAAATTTATTATGCATAACAAAAAAAAACAAAATGAAAGCAATGCCCACTTTTACATGTAAGCGATATTTTTGTATGGTCCCCAAAAATCACGAATGCTGAGTCCAATAGTGTTCTAATATGTGTTTAAAGAGAAAAGTGCTTTAGTTCTTTGAGTTTTATTCAGGATTGACAGCCATACTCCACCCTTTAATTACTATCAGAAGTGGGATAGTTCCGCAAGCCGAGAGTAATTAGAAGATTCTACGAAATTGAAATACGACGACCGTTACTTTTTTGTACATTTTCGTAAAACAACACGAATACATTCGCTGACATAGCCGTCAGAATTGAGAAACGTCAAAATTCACACGGTGCGGTAATATCTCCGAAGACATACGATAACTCTCAAGCCGTGGGAAACGAAACTGAAGTGATAAAACTGCAAAACTAGATCGGTAGGTATTTTATAGAAGGGAGTAGAAAATAATAATTTATTTTGTTATTAATATCAGAGGCCCTTCCATTACTTAAAAAAATGGCGATCCCATTGAATAATGAAATATTGATAGTATTTTGGAATGTCTGAAAGACTATGTAAAAATAAGCTACATGACATTCCCATTGTTAAAATAAATAAATAAATAAAAGATATAATGAGAATATTTTAGTGCATCTGTAATATTCAAATAAAATAATAGTAGCATTGGTTATTGATTAAAAAAAAGAAGGATAGAAATATTTAAATGAAACACTAATGAAAATCCCATTATTGATTAAAAAATGCCACGATAAGATTTCAGAACGTAAAAATATTTAAATAAAGTTACAATGGAAACCCCATTGTCAGTCAAACTTTTGAGTGACATAGTGGCATGGATGTGTGGCATAAACAAAAAATGCTATATTTCCTCCTTTTGCCGTGACCAACAGCCCATATATGATTTGAAAGGGGCTCTGCCATTTTTTTAGGACCAAAGTCAACTGAGTTTAACTAATGCTTGATGTGGCAGTCGTTTTAGGAGTTAAGCTGTGATTGTGTCAAACACTGGCGCTCTTTTTGGATCAGTATTCTTTTCTTATCACTTCTTTGGGGGAGGTACGTCGTGGTTTAGTCCAATCTAGGAAGTCTTCTCCTTCATTTGGTTAAGTCATTTCTAGCTGTTTTCAAATGTGGACGCTTTATGTAAGTCAAGTTTCTTACCTGTGGGGTTTGAAAAATCTGAACAAGAAAGTGCATTTCACACAATAAGAATATATTTTTAATAATTATATTATAGACAGTTTTCTCTAAGCGGCCAAACATTAAAAAATACCGTGTATCTTGGTTGGTTGACACATGTATTAAGTATTTCTCAAAAATCGAGCCCATGACGCGCACTTAAATCGACTTTGTTTTAATTAGTTAAAAAATAGTTTTTTTTTTGTTAAAACTCCAATTACGAGCACTCTGTATATAAACTATTTCATATTTTATAACCTAAGAAATATGTCAGTTTTAGTACCACTTTACAAAACCTTTTCATGCATATTTCCTAGAATTGCAAATAAAATTATATCATCTATTTACTTTTTAATTCGACGATATTGGGACCATTTCAAATATTCTGAAAAATGTATAAATATTATTTTTAATAAATCTTAATAATTTTTATCAATGCGGTTTTCTGATTGGTATAAAAACGATCAATTTTTTGAAATGTGAGCCCTAACCACACGTTCTAATCAAACAAATGCTTTTTAAGAATAAGAGAAAACTCTTTAGCATCAACTTTGTAGATGTCGGAATCTACGTGAAAGTTCCTGAAAAGACGTTTTCCAAAACGATTTAGATTTTAAGAAAAACGAGGTCTTTATTATTATTTAACACTTCAAAGATTTTTTTGGCCAACATTTCGGAGCATTATATATATATATATATATATATATATATATATATATATATATATATATATATATATATATATATATATATATATATATATATATATATATATATCTCACGTATTGATTCACGGATGGAAAAATGTGATGACACTATATTCCGGGATATCATCCGTTCGCTCGTTGAACTCCGACTGGAATCCTGCATCCGACTGGAATCCTGCAAATCTTGCATCCGACTGGAATCCTGCAGACGTTTCGCCAAAATCTCACTTGGCATCTTCAATGCTCGCGCTCCGAGTGTTCGAAGTGTTTTCGGAGCGCGAGCATTGAAGATGCCAAGTGAGATTTTGGCGAAACGTCTGCAGGATTCCAGTCGGATGCAAGATTTGCAGGATTCCAGTCGGATGCAGGATTCCAGTCGGAGTTCAACGAGCGAACGGATGATATCCCGGAATATAGTGTCATCATATATATATATATATATATATATATATATATATATATATATATATATATATATATATATATATATATATATATATATATAGAAGTAACACCCCGTACAAATAACGTGACGAAAGTGTTTTACTTAAAACAAGAAAACAACAATGATTATATCGTCTGACGGTTGAATTTCAAATGTTCGAATACTCCAATTTAATCGAAATGCATTTGTACACCTGGTACTCCTGTCAGACGAAACAAAACCACACTCTGATTTATGAATGCTTATTTGCATAATTCGCTAATTATTTGAGATAGACAAAATTCATGTTATTTCCAATTTTGGAAGTGCTGCAATTTTTTCAAAAGTAATCATTTGAAAGTCGGACTGTTCTACACAAGGGTTATTTTTGAATAAGTTTTGATATTTTTATGATACTTCGGCAAAAAGTTTTGATTTTTTGTCGAACTAAATATGGAACCTTTACCATTTCTTCAGTATAATTTCGTTGCCGATACAATAGTAAATACAAACAAAACTGCCTGTAAATGTCTTCTTCTTCTTTAAATTTAGAACATTTTACCTCAAACATTTGTCAGTGCAAGGCGCCTTAAATAAATTCGTACTACGAAACCAGAAATCTCTAGAGATGATAGAGCCCTGAATTGTGACAAATATATTGAGGTGGGTAGAAAAAGGAATCAGACAGCTAGAGGATCCCAACGGTAAGGTGTCCTGATATGGGACTATTATTGTCTTGCGACTCAAATGTATGGAGAATTGGAGAAATCGTTAGATTAAAATTAGTTTATTGATTCACGAGACAAATTACTTACACGTTTTACCACAATTTTGAAAAATATGTTTTAATGAATGAGCAACTAAATACATAAAATTTAAAGATACTACCAATTATTAGCATATTATTAGAACTATAAAAGCGGGCGGATAAAAAAATGTTTGTATATAGGGTGTTATTTATAAAGAGTCTATTATTTGATTTGATTTCTCAAGTATTTTCATTGCAAAAAGTTACCATACACAATGGGGTCGAAAATCTTCCATGGTATAAAAATTTTATTTTTATTTTTAATACTATTTTTGACAAAAATTGACACTTGGAGTTTTTTGGATATGAGAAATTTGAATTTATTCTTCTTTTATCTCTTTATACATGTACTTTTTCATTTTGAAATGTTCATCATTTTTTTACGATCCAGTATTATATTTCTAGAAAAAAAATTACTCAATCATTTATACGGGAAAAACATTCTCTTATTAGAAGTCGCTAGGCGCAACCGTTTTCCAATACAAGTGAAACAATTCTAATAAGAAAAACAGATCTAGTAGACTAGTGAAATATTCTTATAAATATTGATTACTACTAACTGTACTATGGCCATTGTTGGAATTTTGAAAGTGTGGACATTTTTTATCTTTGTTATTTGTGGGATGCAAGTCATTAAAGAACGAATATAAATTACTCAAAATCGAGTAAAAATATGGAAGAGATTAGGATTAGGTTACAAATACGAGAGATAACAATTTGTTTCCCCAAGAATGCCAACATTTAGCATTTTAAGGGGAATTTTTACTTGATTTAGAAAAAAAACATGGTTTGCAAAAACAATACTTATTAATTATAATATAACATAACATAAAAATTAAACAAAAATGTGGCAGATTTTATACATGATCGATGAAAACGAATAAGTAGTACCGGAAAACTTAAATCTATTACATAGCCAAATCGTAACGTAACGTAACTTATAAATGTACATTTTTTTTTAAAGTCCCGCTTTTATGAAACACAGTGTATACTTTGTGCCTAGGTATATAATCAAGATTACATTGTTTCTATTTTAAAGGGATGCAAATATCTTGCGAGCTGAGAGAATGTTGAAAGTGCTGGACATTGCAGGCGGTTTTCATCGATACACTATAAAGAGAATATTATTTTTATGTATTCAAAAGCGTAGATAAATGATAAATTTCACTCAATATATACTTACAATTCGTTAAAAATTACCCATAAAACAAAATATAATCTTTTTTTAACAATAGCGATATTAGACAAATTAGACAAATTAGACAAATTTTTATTTCCATTGACTTAAAACAAAAAATAGGATAATGTAAAATATTAAATAAAATAAAATAATAATAATAACATAAAATGTGTTAAAATTAAATAGATAATTAAGGCATAAGCTCGGAGGCATTGGAATTTAGATACACATTTATAGCATAAAAAGAATTTTTTGTTAAATTATTTTTAAGTACACTTTCAAAGGCGCTACCTTTTTATATTTTTTTAATCTCAGTGGGAAGTTTATTATAGAGTTCAACTGGTAGAACTATCGGGCTATTTGCTACCTAGACAACATCAAATTTAAGATGAATAGTCTGATATATTACTTTTTGTATGGATAATGGAAGCTAAAACATATGAGATGGGAACGTTAGTAAATTTAGTTTAGGAAATAATGTTTTGCTAGAGTATGTATATGGCTTCAACAAAATAATTCTCAATATTCTCTGTGCTCTAAACACCTCATCGCCCCTGACACATTTACCCTAACACGATATATGACAAGCAGGATTGTACGTAGCCATAATAGTAAAGTAACAAAAGCTGAACATCAACCCTATATCTTAATTACAATGCTATTACAATTGCAATTACATACGCATAAATTGACAGTACTGCATCAACCTGATTAGTCCACGTAAATAGTTCGTCAATAAAAACTGCCAGATATTTCACAACTCTGGTTTGTTTAACCGTTTTATTAGTTAATTTAACAAGAATACTCTTATTAAAATCCTTCACGCTAAACAGCATCACTTCTGTTTTTGATTCATTTAAAGCAAGTCCATTTTCATTGCAAAAAGTTATCATTTTATTGACCGCACAGGTATGCAGCAACGTATGGACTAGGAAATTCCTGCATAATGTTATCAAAGAAAATTATGAATAAAAGCGGTCCCAGTATGCTTCCTTTTTAAATTGGTTTTTTGTTCTCTACCAGTGAGGTAAGATTTTATCCAACAATAACTAATTCAGCGCATCTCGCACATATACAATTTATCGAGCATTAATTCTATACTTATCACATCAAAAGCTCTCCTCAACTCAAAAAAGACATCATAGCTTCCTCTGCAGAAAGGCCTTTTCGAAAACCAAATTGGTAATCATTCAACAAATGGATTGTATGTTTCACTATTACTTTGCTGGAGTGAATATAGCTGCCTACTTATTATAGTTATAGTTCTCAAGATGAAATTGTCTTCTAAATGGATGTTAATCTGGTAGACAATAAAGATTATTATTATTATTATTATTATTATTATTATTATTATTATTATTATTATTATTATTATTATTATTATTATTAAAAGCTTTAAAAAGGTGAGCCTGTTATTTTTTTTTGATTTTTTTTTATTTATTATTTTGTTTACAGATTTTATGAAAAAATTATTACAGTTCTCAACAGCTTCCTGATAATTAATAAGTTTGCTTAGAATTTTTAATGTTTTGCTTCTGAAGTTTTTTTATGGTTATGTACCGTGTACAATCTGGTCTTTTGTATATTTATATTTTTTAAAGAGATCTGAAAGATACTGAAATTCCTCTAAAAGTTCCAATGGTTTGTAAGAAACGTCTTTTCTTAATGTCACGTTTGTTTTTGCTTATTCCTGGTGCTAAAAGTTACTTTTTGAAAGTGTCTGAAGCAAAAATGTCGCAATACTGTGAAGTTTGAACTTGGTGCATTGAATGTCGAGTGTATGTAAATAAATCGAAGACGTGTTGTTGTATTGTATGATTTTCAATCAAATACATCGAGAGTGGTTTGCATTCCCTCAAGCTTCTTTAATTTGACCATTTTTAATATATTTATGAAAATTTTAATGTTGTCGTACCAGAGCAACTATTCATTTTTAGATAACACTCCTTACCCCGCTTACCAAAATGAATTCCAACAACAATTTTGTGAATGACTTCTGTCGCCACTTTAAGCTGGACGCCTGTGTGACTGTATGCAACATTTGTGAAAATTGTGAGAAATACCGGAGGTAACGTTTTGCGGCCTTCTGCATAAACCGGACTATGTGGGACCAAGTTCTCGAGCAAATTTAAAAGTTTTTTTCGAACTTCGCCAAATCAAATAATATTTTCCTTTCCTATTCAACAAAAGTTAGCGCAATCTTCGTTGGTGTCGAACATAGGAGTTCGGTTAATTTCATTTTCCATGCTCGTTCTAGACCCATGAGAAATTCGTCATCAGAAACACTCAAAATGTGATTAAACTTTATGAATGAAACAAATTTTTCCATCGCGAGCCGGGCAAAACAATATTTTGTCAATTGTCGCCATTTGCACTTTGCACGTAGTAAACGGTTAATAAATGATTTAACTCGTTGTAAACTAAACAATTTACGAACACTCGTCGCATAAGATAGTGTTTACAAAACTGATTTATGAACGCATTACCGATAATTTATGATATATGTATTTTATAGTGGGTAAAATGTAAACTTTCAATGGAATCTTTTACGACAACATTTTCCGGCTGGCGAATTGCGATTGAGCGTTTCAAAAACAGCAATATAATTATTTAATATTAATTAATTAATCTTTAATTTTAATACAAATCGCTTCGGACAAATATAAACAAACCAAAGAGAAACTGACCTATAAGGAACAAAATCCGATAAAACTGTAAACTTTTACCTAATTTAAAAATTCTATGAAATAACTAATTGCAAAATATAATGTGTTACATAACTCTAAAAGGTCTACATCGTTTATTGTAGTTCATTCTTTAGCAAGGAGGACCAGACCAGAGCCTCTTTTTAATTACCAGTTCATTTTTTGTTGCTCCTTTTCCCTTCTTTATGTTTTAACGGCAGCGTTGATGTCCCAGATTAATTATAATTATTGACGCAATTATAAAATGATTGGTTTTGGTTAACCATAATAAATATTCAAATGCCCCAGTTCCATTGTGTTTTCTTGTATATTGGAGTGCGTTTCACTTAATATATGGAATAATATGATACATATAAAAGTGCAGCTAAAAATGGTTACCAAGTTGATAAATATTTCCTTTGCTCATTTTTATATGTTTATTCTTATATCCATGGTATTTTTTAATCGAATGTCAATAATTAAGGGGGTTTTGGCTGAACTGCAGGGTGGCAAATTTTCAAAAATAAAATATTTTAATTTAATTTAATTTTAATATTTGTAATACAACTTTAGATATTATTTTGAAATTAGGCACACATACACTATGTATCAAGAGACTTAATTTAATGTACACCAATGTTTTTAAAATTCACCATTGATGGTACGCCACCGATTATCGTAAAATATTTCTAGAATCTCCAACCATTTCTAAAGAAATTTAATTTCTTGTTTTTTTTTCAATCTGATGTACGGTGTTCTATTAAAAAAATAAATAAAAACCTCTTTTCTGCACGGTCAGAACAGCATGCAGAGAATAAATATCATTATTTCTTACAAAAATAATTGTCTATCTGTTCCATTAAAATACGTCAAAAAATCGAAGTACGAATACGAATATGTAAGTGCGTAAACTTAAATAAATAAAATAAATTTAAATACGAATCGTTTATTATTTATCTTGTTAGGATATTATCTCATTAAAAGTTTAAAAGTAAAAACAACAGTCTTTTTTTTTTCACAAGGACACTAGTTGGTAACTGAAAACTATATATTTGGTTTCAGCTAGATATTTTATTTTTCACCAAAAAAAGTTCTCCAGTTAACCAGTGCAGGGTCGACCTAAATTACCAAAATATTATTTATTTATAGGCAGTACAGATTTGATCTCTTAATTTTTTTCTAGTCCGTCGCACGACTTTCACATCAAAATAAAAACTAAATACTCTGCATGATTATCACCATGCAGAGAAAAGGTTTTTATTTTTTTAAGCGAAAACCGTACATCGGATTGACAAAAATTAAGACATTAAATTTCTTTTGATTGATGATTCTACGATTTTTTTTTATTTTAAGAGAAATCAGTGGCGTACCGTCAATGTCTGCTAAAATAGATGGGTGAAATTCCGTACGCCTTACACTGGTGTATTTTTTTAAAAAATACAGTACACTAAATAATGCCTCTTGATACATAGTACATATGTGAAAAAATTTCATTAAAATATCTAAAGTGGTATTACAGATATTAAAAAAATATATTATTTTTGAAAATGTTACCACCCTGTATCTCAAAAGTTAAAATGGACCCAAAAATCGCCCCCATAATTATTAGAAAACTAGAAAACCTCGTATACCATACCTGCTGTATAATATACCATTTTTAACTTCAAAAATAAAAAATTACCTAGGAATATCGACTATATAATGTGTATACCCACCGAAATTGATCGAGCTCTACAAAAATTGACAAAATCCACATATCTATCTGATCGAATAATAGTACAAAATCTCTTAGCCCTGCTGGCAAATTTCTTTTGCAAACAATAGTTAAAACCCGCACCGTTGATTAATAGAAGCTTTATCACTGCACGTATAAATCTAAATGTAGAACATAATCGCTGAATTTTAGCAAACGTGCCATTAATTCCATACGTCTCCTAATTTAAGTGATTTAGTTTTCTACTGCTTCGAGGCACAGTAGTTGGACTAAGAAATATTTGATTTCTGAATAGAAAGTTTCCTATACCCCGTGGACAAATGTTTATCACATTTGATTTTCCAAAAAAATTATAAACAAGAAACAGCACTACGATCGCCTTCGCTACAAAGTACAGCGCAGAAATTACCACATAAATAACCAATTTTATACCTAAAGCCCAATCTAACACAACATTTTAAAATGTTATACGTTTTAATCGCTTTACTTTACAATTACAATTTTTCCAAAACCGTTTGTTAATATTTTTTTA